TGGCCCAGGCACTGTGCACCGCCCTCTGATTCTCACAGCAGCGTAGATACATTAGCCCATTTCACAGATGAAGAGACCGAGACTCAGCCCGTAGGTGACAGAGCCAGGTGTCAAGCCCAGGGTTTGCTGACTTCAAAGCCCATTTTTTTTCTGATTTCACTGACTGCTGCTTCTCTTGAGCCAGTCTGAGCCTCACCCCCTGACTCAGGGATTTATGGGGAGTAGCCTTTAGGCCCAAAGGTCTCCAGCCTGCACATGAGCAGTCCTGGAAAGGCAGGGACTTTGTGCATGGCACTAAATACTGTGGGAAAGGGCACAGGGAGATGAATGGCTGTTCTAGTCAGTATTCGCCGAGTGCTAGATCCGAAGCACGTGGTGACATCCCCTGCCTCCGGGGTCTGCCAGCCTTAGGTGCACCACACTTGCATGAAAATTAGGCTGTGCCAAGGAAACTCCATGTTGTTTTATTGTGGATGTAAATTACTGTGAGTTAACAGCGCCATCCTTTGAATCAACTACAGCCTCAGTATTTTATTTTAGCCTAGCTATTGACCAGCTAACCCATGAATGAATGAATGAATGAATGAATGAATGCATAATTGTTTGCTCTTACAGATTCGCTGTCCTGCTACACATAAACCAAAGGGAAAAAAATATGTCTTGTACTGCCTATAGCGGCTCTTCTCCATTTTGTTGGAGGTAGCCATTTATAGACCTATCTACACATTAATTTCTAAAACTCAAGATTCAGGAAGAGCAGATGGAGTCGCATACTGCACACATTGGCCATATATTTTGGAATATATTTCATTTTTGACCAATTCGGTGCTGCTTTATTTAGCAAAAGTTATCAAAGGTTTTATAGATAGTGCTGCGGAGAGGGGGAGCAGCTGAGATGAGAGGACAGCCCCTCGAACGCAATGCCATGCTTCTCAGATTCTGCCCTGCAGACCCAGCTGGGACCCGTAGCCTCCCCCCACCGCCCCCTCATCGTCCCCTCCTCCCCATAGGCGACAATCAGATCCACACTGTTCTGGGGCTGAGCTTGTGTTGTCTGTGGCATTTGTCCTTTGAGTGATTCTGATACGCAAACAGGTGTGAGAATCAGCCTCCTATACCCATATCTGGGTGCTTCTCTTAGTATCTCATTTTCACGAGACTCTTTCTTATTTTCCTCATTAAATTACTAGAGAAGTAGAGCAGGGAAATTCCATTCCTCTTCTGTTTTCTCAAAGTCATCGGGGAAGCAGTGAGGGGTTGAGCACCTCCTGCATTGCCGAGAACGATGGCTCACAGGTCTCAGTAGATCTCACTGTGTTTTAAGAATTAACTGGCCCTCAGACATTGTGTTGAAAACATCCTTCTCAGTTCTTAGCTTCTGCCCATCATAAGTCCACGCAGGACTCCTTTCCTGTATCCTGGTTCCTCTTCACCTCTGCTCCCTACCACCTTTCCCCAGGAAAGGATGACCTAAGTATGCCGAATGAAGGTGTGCCTGTGTCCTTATTAAGTATTTCTTCTTGCTTGAGTATGTGTATATCCTTAGTTACACAAATGATAAATCTGCAATGAAATAGTCTATAAAAAGCAAGACTTTTTCATTGTTTCACTCAGCAGTAGGTTTTCAGGTACGTTCCAGCTTCTGGGTAGACTTCCCCCCCTGCTGCCTCGTATTTCGCTGTCTGCTTTCCCATTCCCTCTGTTTAGCTGATATCTCCTCCAGTTGAAATGTGTGCATGTTCCTGCAGATCCACTGTCACAAGGAGTTCTGTCACTGAGCTCTCACTCGCAGCCCTCAGGGACCTGTGTGAGAATTGTTTCTGGGAAGTGCGCCCAGGGATTGGATTCCGGAGTCATATACTATGTGCATATTGAGCTTCAGCTAGACTCTCAGGTTGGAAATAACACAGGAGCATTCTCGTCTTCCCGTGTCCCCACCAACATTGGGTATGGCCCAACTTGTGTGTTTTTTCATCCTCACTCAAGGATATGTTTTTTATTTGAGAGAGAGAGAGAGAGAGAGAGAGAGAGATGGATGTGAGAGAAAATCATCCATTGGTTGCCTACTGCACATGCCCCGACCAGGGATCAAACCCAACTGAGGCATGTGTCCTGACTGGAAGTCAACCCTGCAGCTCTTCGATGCATGAGAGGAGGCTTCAACGGAGCCAAGCCAGGGCAATCATTTCCTTTTTGGACAAACATCCTTGTTATTTCATGTAGGTAAATCCAACCGTTTTTCATCTTATCGATATCGCTTTTAGGGGATTATTTTTTGAAATACGTCCCACGCAGAATAAGGAAACAGGATTCTAGAATGGTGGCCCAAAGTCACACTATCGATTCGCAGCAAGATGTGAGATGATGAAAAAGTAACCTTTTATAAATTGAGCCGAGGTACGCAGGACACTCACGGCAGTCAGTACTGTGTGTCCCAGAGGCTCTGTGAGTGCCACTCAGCGTCTCTCGGGACCTCAGCCTGCAGCTTCTGGTCGGATTCACTGCTTTTTCCTTTCTGCCTGAAATCCGTGCAGAGTGCCTCCGTGGCCCCACCTCCGGCTGCCAGTAATTACCGTTTGGCCATCATTAAACTCATTACCTCATTACCACTCCTGCTCAGAGAGCCTCTGGCTCAGTCCTCCCCGTGCGATATGTCCGCCTCCCCCAGGAGAGCGCAGGCCCTGGGGTCAGTCTGGTGTCTCTTAGGTGGTGGAGGAAGATGAGGGGAGGCAGACGGTTCTGGGGGGAGGCTCAGCTTAGGGCCCCTCCTCCAATTGCATGCAGACATGGTCTGCCTTTGTCTGCTGTGTATGGGGTAACATGTATAATTTACTTGAAAGAGGATTCGACTGAACAGGGAGGAGCGGGGGCACTGCCTTAGAGAACTAGACTATGTTATATAGACGGATGTTCCCGACTCCCTGCTCGTGTTACAGTTGATCATGTGTTACATTTGAGTGAACACTTTTACATTGTCTGCATCTATAGAACCTTGTAAGGTAGGCATATCTGAATAGCTGCGGCAAAATTTCCCCAGAATCGCAGCCCATAAGGGCTGGGGTCATATGGCAAGAGGTGGTAGAGGACCATGACTCGGCCGTGAGCATCTATTGCTTTGATTTCCTGGGTTTCCGACAGGAGCCCATGCTATTGGGGTTTTGCCTCCAGATGGGAAAGCAGCGCCGCCTTGGCTCTGCAGGTGGGCTTTGTGTCCTTCCTGGTGAATTCGGTGCCGCGCTGAGGGGTGGCAGGATTGAGCGGCTCCTCTCTGCTCCCGAGGGCACACATCTGGGACACCCCAGGAACCGAGGGTGGTGCCAGCCTCGCTTACCTCTGCGCTCCCTCTTCCAACGCATCCTCAACTCCGAAATCACTCCCCTCCTGTCTCTCAGGATAAAGTTAAACATGTTAGTAATGTTGTTGAGTAGTTGTCTTTCAAGTGCACACGTAATATGACTGGTGTCTTAGCAGGACCGAACAGTGACCAAAAATAGGTGTATTTCACGTGAGCCTTTTATTACCAGGCGTTTTAGTTTCTGGTTTGTATAGCACCTTCCAGTTCATAGTCATTGCTGCTTTACTTTTATTTCTCTATGGGTTTTATCATCCCTATTTCACAAAAGCAAATTCAAATGCAAAAGGCCTTGAACTTTAAAAAATATATATTTTTATTGATTTCAGAGAGGAAGAGAGAGCTAGAAACATCAGTGATGAGAGAGAATCATTGATCAGCTGCCTCCTGCAGGACCCACACTGGGCACCGAGCCCCCACCCTGGGCATGTTCCCTGACTGGGAATCGAACCTGAACAGTGGCCTCCTGGTTCATAGGTCAATGCTCAACCACTGAGCCACGCCAGCCAGGTGAAAGGACAGGTTTTAAAGGCGCTAAGCTGAGTTGTGGGAATGGTGTGCGAGAGGGCTGATGGGACACGTCTAGGAGAAAACGTCCCGCAGAGACCTCGGCAGGTAGCTTCGAGTGGAAATGCAGACCCTGCTCTGGTGGCATCGCTCTTTTCCCCATGCTGCCCCTTTCAGCCAGTGGTCGCTATGGCGTCCTCGAGACCAACTTGTAGAACCTGGTGAAAGCCACAGCTTCCCTGGGCGAGGAGAAACACTCGTGTACATGTTCACACACCGTGACACAATTCCAGGTCATTGGAAAAGCGCCGAGTCAATAATCCCTGCTTTACATGGGACCTGGGGCTTTAGAACTCCATCCGATCTCTAATCTGCCAGGCCAGACGCTGAGAGGCCATCAAAGCTCCTCTCCTACTGCGGTACGTACGCCTGGAGGACTCAACTGGCAACCACACGGCTTACTGTCCGCACAAGCCAGCAGGAGGCCAGCCAGCGACGGCAGTACCCACACTCGCACAGGCTCCTTTAAAAAAAAAAAATATATATATATATATATATATATATATATATATATATATAAAATATATATATATGTGTGTGTGTGTGTGTGTGTGTGTGTGTGTGTATTAAATTGATTTTTAGAGAGAGAGAAAAACATTGATGTGAGAGTGAAACATAGATTGGCTGCCTCAAATTGGCAGTGACACCTAAGTAACCGAGCCACACCAGCCTGGACTGCAGGCTCCTTTTAATATTTCTATTCACTAAAAATATTTTTCTCATGATCCCATTCTTTGTCTCACAAACTCCCCCCACCCCCCAGACTTTCCTCCAAGGCAGAACTAATAGCACACATGTTATTTAGACTCTGTTACTATTTATCGGCATGCATGTGGCCTTATTTGTCCCAGTTCCTTATCATCATGAGGGGGGAGGGGACCACAGGGAGAACACCCACACTTCATCTTCCACACGGCCCTCTGCTCAGGCTGCTCACACTCTCTCTGTATCCAGGACTCAACTCGTTTTGCTTTCCTAAGAGTAGAAACATTCCAGTTTTCACCCTCATCTTTGGGCTCTTTGATCCCCAAAAGTTCTATAAGAATCCCCCTGAAATAAATGTTTTCACATATTTCTTTCTCCTGCCGAGCCTTGTTGCCGTTCCTCTTCTCTGATGCAGTAAGTTTTAGTCTTTAGCATCATCAGAGCCCCCCAAACAGGTACAAAGGTGCACTGAAGTATTTCATCATTTAATATTTACTGAGAACTTGCTATGGCCCTTGAGGAAGCCACTCTAACGAATGAGGCAAATGTGGGTTTATAAATTACCACAGTGTGATTGCTGTGGGGACCAGCAGGTCATATTTCACATGCTGTGCTCTCCCTAGTCTGGTGACTTGAATTCTTCACACACGTGTTCAGGGAGCATTTGCTGCCCCCTTGCTGAGGTGACTGCATGGTGCTGTGGAGGCCGACACGCGGGCAAATCTTGAATTTGAGAAGCTTTAACAGCTGAACAAAGTCTACAGAGTAAGCTACAACAGAAGGTAGAAGTGATACATGCCTTAAACCTGTAGAAAAACAAAGGGAAACTAATATTTATTGAGTACTTACTACGTGTCAGGAGTTATTTTAGGTACTGCCATTTGCATTTTCTGAATGCCCCTAACTATGTTTTGAAGTATTTTCCCCTTTGTGCAGAGGAGGAAATTAAAGCTCAGAGGTGATTAGTAAGTTACCGTAGACCTCCCTGTTTCTAAAGCTCGTGTATTTCTGCTATATGTTGCTAAAGAACCATATTCCTAAGGTCCTTTAGCAACATATACAGCAAAATAATAAAGTGAGAAAGAATGTGACCCATTTAGTTACTATCCAGTGTCCCAGTTTTCTCTCAACTTCATTTATCCTTTCCCCCTTGTCTGCTGTAGGTACATATATACCCTGGAACATCCGTAGGGTTTGTCCCTTACCAGTTCTATTATTAATATTCTTATAATTTCAAAAAAGCCCTTTGGATGTGGCTCAGTAACTTCCTCCTGTCTTTCCCCTGTGATTTACCCAATCTCTGCTAACATTAATCATACAGATAATTAATTTGCTGCTTTCACAGGACAATTTTCTATTGGCATGTCATTTTTTTTGTAAAGCGTGTTTTAATAAAACATACACATGTCAGGCACCTTTTCCTGTAACCAGGGCCTTTCACATACTTTTTAACAAGCCTACTAACAACCCTACACATATGGTTTCCTTTAGTGAATAAGAATTTTTGCAGCTTAGCTACATCTAGCCAATATCGCCTAAGTTGTTGGATGTACCCACTAAACAACCCAGACTTTATCCCTCTTACAATTTATCACTTTAAATAAATGCTAGCAAGCTTCACCGCATTGGAAAAGTACTTTGTGTCTGAGACATCCCGGATGTACAGATTTGTCATGCCTGCTTCCTAGGTGTGCCGTCTAAGGCAGTGCCATTCGGCTGACTCACATTCTGTGCGGTGTTTACCCAGTAGTCATCCCTCATGCGGTTCATTAGGTGTTGGGTGATGAGCCAAGCCGCTGTGTTCTCAGTTGGGGCTGGAGCCCGTTTAGTTTGGCGCTGATTTATGGTGTGCGGGGAGGGAGCAGTCCGCAGATCCATCTGAGAAACCCAGTTAGCCAGAGACAAATAGCTGAAAGTTGGCCGGTAGGAGCTGGGAAGGTGGGCTCTTGAGAGAGGGGTCTCCTTTAGAAACATCAGTGTGACTTCAGCATCCTAACTAGGAAGAGCCAGGTTCTGCACTAGAGAATGCTCTCCGGTCTGGTTTGTTGGTATCCCCCCAGGGTCAGGCGTAAGGCATGTTATTGACCTCTTCATGCACTGCATCATCTCCCTGTGCTTTTGGTTCTCACCATTGATAAGCATGCGTGTGGAGCCCACCTGCTTCCCAGGCAGGCAAAGTGAATGTATAAAGTATGGTAGCCTGAGACATTGCTTTTGAAGATATCATGCCAAGAGAGAAAGCATTTATAGCTTTCCTTTTTTCTTTCCCAGGTGAATTTTACACTGAGAAGGGTTTTAAGTATAATATTTCTCTTGCCTTGTGAACTTCCCATCTCTTATTTTCCTTCTCATTCCGTTCACCATGTTGGTTTGGCATCCTTTTTGCTCTTTCTGTCCTTCGGGTGGGCCAGTGAGGAAGAGTCACCTTGATCTTGAAGTTATAGAGAAAATGCCCTGGATCTCATTGGGGTGCTGTCCTTTTGTGGCACACCTGTTCACACACTGCAAGGACTTGGGCTGGTCCTCTAAAACATTTCATTAGGGAGCACTGAGACTTTTAAGAAAATCTAATTCAAAATTATTGAAAGGTCAAATATGTGTTAGGTAAGAGTTTCTATTGCTCACCAACGTGGGTTCCTTCAGAGATGGAGGATGGGTGTCCTTGTGAATCCCAAACTCAACTGGTTGGTTGTGGCTCCATGCAGGAGTCCCTGGTTTATCGGGGGGGGAGAGGGGGGGAGGAAAAAAAAAGTGCCATGATGGATTAGTGATGCCTGCCACTGGCAAGGAATAGAGAAATGAAGGTATATATGCCGTATAATTGCCATCTATGCTGTTTCTTCCCAAGGATCCATCATGAGGGGATGGGACCACATCCAGATGAAAGCACACAGACCAAGTGGATCTCTGTAAACTGGGAACAGCTGCCTTCATCCAGCTGTGAGGGGTGTAGTGTAGGGCAGAGAGGAAAAGGCATTGAGTGGAAAAACACGGAAACCATTTCAGATCTTGGGCACATCAGCTCTAAACCACGTAGTAACTGTCGGGATTTTGCAGAATCAGAGCCTTTAATTGTCTGGGCTTTGTGGCTACAGTGGTAGACAGGTTCTCCTTTAAAGATAATAAATGGCTCGCAGTTACTTTAGCTGAGAAAGTGTGCTGCTGCCCTGGGACAGTAATAACCGACTGTGGCAAAGAGGAGCCTGGGATTTATGAGGTGTCCCAGTTTACAACCACCGGGGAGGAATCCAGCAGAGCGCCGCTGGAGCAATGCGCTAACCAGAGTGCATCCATCACTGCTCCCTCTGCAAGCCCTCTCTCTCCCTCTGCTGAAAATTATCACAGGCATTTGACCCCCGCCATTATAAGACTCCCCAGAAACCATATTTTAACATGTAACTTGAAAATAAAATCTCGTTGACCTTCGGTTTACTGGACTGAGGGGGACATTTTCCAGGTACGAGACACCATAAAATTCACCAGTGATAAAAAGATTAAGATATAGTCTCTTCTTGCAAAGGATTCAAGTGCCTACTGGGCGCCCGCAGTGATTACATAATTTCAGTACCCTGTGAGGAGTGCAGTCGCTGAAGCGATGGGTTAGGAATAGAACTATATCTGTATGCATAAAAATCCGTGCTGCGCTTAATCATCACTTTGTTTTCCCTGTCCTCAAGTTATATTGGCAGCCATGCCCATAAAAGCACTTATTAAGATCTAGTGTTATTGTTTGTTTACAACCTCCTCCCCCTCACTGACCTTGAGCTTCCTGAAGCTGAGCTCTGGGTCTGGCTCTTTGTGTTGCCAGCATCTACCCAGTGATTAGCGCCTATGAGATGCCTGATCAATGTTAGCTGAGCTCAGGCAGGCTTGAATATGTACTTCCTACATACTGAAGGCAATACCAGGCATTGGTAACTTCTTAGATCAAATTTAAAAAATCAAAACATAGTTGCCCTTAAGATAGTCTGTTGATTGTGAGTTGATTTAGAAATTAAAATGCATATCACGATGCCAAATTTCTCAACGCAGAGTTCTCCATTTCAAGTACCACAGTGCTGGTTGGATAACTAATCAATGGCAAAGATTTGGAGGAGAACGGCAAGAACAGTCCTTCCTGGTGTCTATCAGAGTGTAAAGCAGTGGACTCTGCTCAATTTTAAGTTCCAGTCTGTGGCCATCTCCCCGCCCGGTCTGATGCTAAACACTATCACCAACGAGTTCATGGTGGCAGCCCTGTCCTTCTGCAGTGACCTGCTACAACAGTGATTCTAATTTCTCCTGAGTTGTCTTGTCTGGCGGTAGAGCTAATTTCTAGGAGCCAGATCTTGCCTCTCCCACCGAATTCCCCCTGGTCTCGCCTGAGCAGTCTGCATACGACAAGTTTATCCAGTCTCTCTTCCACCGGAGCAGGCTGTCTCATTTCATTTGTCACTATTTAATAGCTTATGCAGAGCATGCTGGGAGACCTAAATGTGTGGCTTTAGGGTTTCCCCTTCCATGTGAAACAGTAGACATTTCATGTATTTCTTAATAGTGACTAATTTTAGAGTAATTTGAGGCTGTGCTCACTGATATTTTTCTGTCCAGTTTCCTTTTAGTTCAATTGTTCACTCTACAAATATGTAGGACTGGTATTAAATGCTGGGCACAGAGAGATGAATTGGGTAAAATCCCACCATCCATAGAGGTTGAGACACACTGGGAGAGATAAAATGTGAGCAGATAGTTACATTCACTGGTTTTTGCCAAGTCTTACCAATGACGGCCTGAGATGGGGCATTGAGTGGATCTCAGCCTTGTTGGTAAACAGCCTGCAGTGTTGAAGGAAATCTGTGATTGTCATTCACCCATCCACAGGGACAGTAGGGAACTTTGAATCCTTCAGCTCCATATTTTTTGGCATCATGATTGCGTCTCTTAAAAAACAGAAGACCTTTCAGGCTGTCACTTCTCCAGTGACATTCCTCCCCTGCTTTTGGGGAGCTCCCCCAAGAGTCAGTCCATCCCCCCCTCCACCCCACGTGGTCAGCCATAGCTGCAGGAGGACAGCATCTCCATGATGACCCCAATTTGGGGGACTTGCTCAGCAAGAAGCTCCTTCTTTTTAACTTCCAGAGAATTTGCGAAGGACATTGCTTTCCTTGTCCATGCTTGGCAAAGTATGGCTAAGTTTTATGAACTAGCTTTAGCAAACCAACAGTAGCCATTTATATTAAACATTTGTAGCCATTTCTCCCAATCCTATGGAGCCCTATCAGAAGAGTTTTCCAACTTCTTTGCAAGAAAACCAGCCCTGTGTGTCTCTGCCTCTCTCACCACACATGCTCACATATTTGGATTGATTTGCTTAACCTGTTGATTATTCCAAGCTGTGGATTAAATGCCTGCCACTAGTGTGATTTGCCCAGACTTTGCTTGCTGGAGTCCAGCTTCTTCAGACAGTGAGAGAAGGCGCTTCCTATGGTTGCCCAGGGCCTTCAATGAACTCACCAGTGAGTCTAGGCTGCTGGCTGTGTTAGGCTTCCTGTTTTGAGGGGGAAGGAAGCTTGGTCAGACAGCTCTTGGCCTCTCCCCTCAAGGGCGGACTGCAGAGAGAGGGTAGTGAGCCCAAACCTCACCTTTCCCAACTCCTCTCCGGGCCTGCCCTCCCTGTGGATGCTGAAGACAGTGAGAGGGATGTTGTCTCCACACCCATTGATCTCAGCAGTCCTGGCCCTAATTGATTTTAAGATGAATTGCTGGGAGATAGGTTTTTGGGCTTTTTATTGGCCATAAAGATGCCTTGAACCTTAAATTAAAATGCCTGGTGAGGAGCAGGCAGCTATTGCAGGCTGCAGAGAGAAGGCAGCGAGCCCAAACCTCACCTTTCCCATCTCTCTGGACCTGACCTCCCCACGGATGCTGAAGGCAGCCACTTTCCCGCCACCTCGGCAGAGCTGAGTCACTGCAGCAGGCACCAGATGGCCCTTAAAGCAGTCTGGCCTCCTCTGCTCTGTGCCACCCGGCCCACAATAAATACAGAAGACTTAGCTCCTGCTCCTCCGGCCCACGGAGCCCTTTCCTTTTTCTCTCCTTTTCATTTAACGCCCTGGACACCACTCAGCAAAATCTCTCCCTTACAGGGACTGGCCTTGGCAGTTGACACCCCAACTGTGGCAAGACTACAAAGTAAAGCCATCTTTAGTTTCCAGAAGCTGTCCTAATTTTTTTAAAATACTTTTATTGATTTCAGAGAGGACAGGAGAGGGAGCAAGAGATAGAAACATCAATGATGAGAGAGAATCATTGACTGGCTGCCTCTTGCACGCCCCCTACTGGGGAGCAAGCCCATAGCCTGGGCACGTGCTCTGACCGGGAATCCAACTATGACCTCCTGGTCTATAGGTGGACATTTAACCACTGAGTCACACCAACCAGGCAAGTTGTCCTAATTTTTGAGTCCTCTGGGAGAGAAGCGGGTGGGGATGCTAACAGCTGCACCTGGGACAATAACTGTCCCCGGCAGATGCGTCATCAGTTTTCACCTGAACTTCTACTTGTGCTGGGCAAGGCTCATCTCCCCACTCCTAGCCTCGGAGAGTAGCCCCCCAAGTACTCCCTGCCTCCGGAAAGTGATCCTGCCTATTCATGAGCACCCGGGCTTTTTCTTCCCAGGCCCACTCTCCAGGCGGGATCCCTCCTGTTGTGGTCCTCAGGAGCTGTCAGTCATGCTGGTTTGTGTAAGGAACATTCCTGGGAAGAAAAATGGCCCAGTGCTGGAGCCCAGCAGTGAAATCTCTCCCGCAGGCCTCATCTCTAAGCTGGGCTGGGCTGGTATCTGTCTTCCCGGGACAGCCTTTCTTCCGCATTAGGAAGACAAATCTGCTTCCTGGGCACCACGGATTGGGTCCATGAAATCCCCGTTAATGGATATGCTCAGTAGTGGCTGCTGCGGTGGCTTCTCCAGACCCTCCACTCAGCTTCAGACTACCCTTTGTGAGGGAGGGAAGCCCAGCGACCACTGGAGCCCTCAGACCCCACCTGGAGGCTTTGTAAACCGCTCAGATGACTCTGTAATGACGTGCTTGTTTGTTCTAGAGATGCTGAGTGGGAGCCAAGGCATCTTTGGCATCGAATGTATCAATCATTATTACAGTCTGGAAAATTCTCTATTAAGCACTATGGTCAACAAATAAGAAACAGTTCCTTCTCTCTGGGGGTTTACAACTGAGGGAGGATGACAAGTACGCTAATAACGATCCTGACTTCTCTCTAGTGATGTGACAAGAGTCTCTGAGGTGCTCAGTCACTGAGGGTTCAGAGGTGCTGCTGGACGTTGGCTGAGATTGGGGATTCTCCCACTTGAGCACACATCCGAATCCCCCAGACAGGCTGTTGAAACACAGATGTGGAGGCTGCCTGTATGCACTCTACACTGTTCTTTATAAGGCACTTGAGCATTTTGACCAATGCCCCCCTGACCAGCATGCTTGATGCTATTGAGGGATCCCCGCACTTACACCTTTCACCTTGTCTTCTAACAAGACCAGAGGTTTTCTCCTTTTAAAGCACAAGGTCCTGTGGGACTCTGGCTCCCTTTGTAACATGTGACATTAGCTCAGAGATCACGTGCTCGGAGAACCCCAGAAACGCACCACAGGCTCCGCGGAGATGCTGATGAAATGATCAGTCAGTTCCAACAGTGAGTGCAAAGCTTAAAAGCACGGCTTCTTTGATGTCTGTGGCGAGGCACAGGCTATACTAAGACCTTTCAAATTCATTGATTTGCTGTTGCCTCTGCAACATCGTCGGTCCATGGGCTTTGCAAACAATGATAAAAGGTCTGGTATTTTCCAAAGAGGACAGAGTTCAGGACGGTGGGTGTGAGAGTCTTGGTTTACTAGCACATCACACATGTAGAGCATTAGCAGAGGTCTCATGCCATTAACTGTAGCTCTTGTAGAAGATGCTTCGCAAAGGAAGAGAAGAATGTTTGACCTAGATAACTGTCTGGTCTTCTTAAAACATCAGTGACATCTCTTGCCGGGGTCATTTTCCTTGGCACAGCGAGCGACCATAGAGCTTCTTGGGGCCACAGCCAAGCAGAGCTGTGAATAAAGTAGATGAAGCCAGTCTTGCTTCTAGCAAACCTCCGTTCTGTGCTGCACACTCACCACTGGCATCCCTTCCCCGGGATCCTCTCCACCTGCTCTGAGGAAACGGTCTCTATTGTCTTCAAACTGAAGTATAGGAGATTGTGGGGAACTTAAAGGATTGCCCCACTTACGGATCCTTGCACATAGCAGTGATCAAAGCGTAAAGCTAGAGGAAGAACGTTCTTACAGTGGATTTTAAGCACAGGCTATAAGTAGGAGCTGCCTGGGGGATTATCATCATTTCCATGCAAAGAGACAACCATGAGAATAGAACGATGGTTTTCTAAAGTTATTTCTCACTGCAGTGGCAGTGCTCTTTCTGCCCAGCTTCCTTCTAGTTCTCCTGAATCTGGGCAACCACAGCCACACGAGCTTGTGTCCTCTTGGCCTTCGTTGTATTTGTAGGGACTTCCTGTTGCAAGTGATAAGAATCCTGTTCAAACCACCCAATGCCATATATAAGGGAACATATATAAAAGAGGGTTGGACCAATGTTGTGGGTGAATATGGCTTCGCTGTTATGAACACTCCTACACGCACGTCTGCCTTTCCTCAGGCTGATTCTCTTGACAGCCATCATTATCTCCTGCTGTCCCGCAGATTAAGGGACACCTAGTTCTTAATTCGAGGGAAAAGAGCTTTCCTCAACTCCGCCTCCAGCCCCAGCAGAAAAGCCCGAGGAAGGATGCTGATTGGTCAGTGATGGGACCATGGTGGCTGGTGGGCGGTGGTCTGGTGATTGTCTTTTCTGTGACAGTCCCTAAGGGAACACATTCAGTAGGGGTCACCTGGCAATTTGAGCTTCCATTTCCATCTGGAAATGTGGGAAGTGGAGGTTTCTTGAAAGCTCTCCCCACTGTAACCTGGTTCTATTTAAAAATCACTCTTTTGTTTCTGGTATCCTAAACACTGGATCTTTACTTCCGTGATATGTCCCACCTCCCACCAGGAGGTCAGATGACATTGGGAGACGATCATCATGTCCTTGGCCCAACTCTGAGTTTTTCTGGACAGGAAAAGGGGCGGCGCCCGAAGTGCTCTGCACAGGCAATAGCCAAGAGTCATAGATCAGCCTGGAGTAGATAGCTCACCATATAAAGCGCATGATCTAAGATGGTCAGAATTTCAGATTTTGTGACGTGTCCCAAAGTTAGCGTTTTGCTTGAGTGGAAAAAAAAAAAAAAAAAAAAAGAAGAAGGAAAGAAGCCTATTGGTGGGAGGTCAGCTGGAAGTGTTCTCATGTCCTTGTGTTGGGGACCTGACAAGATGATTATGTAAATGGTTCCGGTTCACATGCAGCCCTGGTTCGACATGGCTAATGTGTAGACGTGTCCAGATGATTCATCTGTTTCCACATCGTTGGACATTCATTCTTCCTGAGAAACTAGATGATGTATTTTCCCCTCCCAAAGCCTCCCCACCTTCAGAGTGTGCCCATTGGTCTGTCTTGTCCATCACACCCTCTCTCCTGCAATGAGCTGTGCCCGTGTCTGACTCACTGGTTAGACCAGGAGTTCACAGAAGCAGGGGCCATACTCTAGTCACCTTTGAATTCCCAGTGGAGATGCACAACAGGACTCAGTAATGTCTATGGTATTGGCTTCAGAAATAATGCTGCTCAAGAACATTTCTGTGAAGAGTTTCTATCAATTCCGTTCAACTCATGTACGCTGTTGATCAGCTGTGTTGGGCTCAAGTTGTCTTCTGTAGCTTCCTGGGGTTTCTGCCATTAGGTTCATTCTGGGGATAAGATATCCCTCTCAGAAAGCCGCTGTGGAAATGCCTGTGGCCCTGTGGCCTTCTTTCTCACTATGGCCTCGGACTCCTGAAGACCATAAGGGCAGATGAGGGCTGATAGCACTGCAAAATTGTTTGGGTTTTTTAATTCTTTTAGATACCTATGATTCATCTTTCCCTCAGTAGAGCCCTTTGCAGTTGACAAGGGATTCCTGGGAGGGGGGGAGGGGAGAGGCATGTTAGCAATGGGTATGCAGATGGTGAAAGACCCCTGCGTTAGGGGTCGCATGGGCCTGTGGGCATACTTTGGCCTGATGAGTGATAGGTTTTGGTGTCGCTGCTAAGGAAGATTCACTTTCCTGCTCTGCCTCCCAGTGCCCCTTACCCCCCTTCAGACCACTGGACGGCCTGTGCGTGAATAGGAGAGACGTACCCTTAAAGCTAGCGGCCAGCTACCACTGCACCATTTCAGAGGGGTGGTGCGAGGAGCTGTCAGTGTTGGGAGTGCATGTGAGCTTCCCGCTGTGTGCTGACAGGGTGATGTTGCCATCGCCTAGCAGCCGGGCAGACTGGAAGTTCTGGCTTGCCACAGTATCCGCGTGCTGTAAATGGTCACCTCTGTGACGAGAAGACTTCATGTAGGTGGCACCTTGGTGGGACTGTCAGTGGCAGTGACAGGGTCATCATCATACATGAGTTAGTGAATGAACAGTGAGCATCAGGGTGGGCTGGGGTCGCATTTATAGTGACAGAGGGTAAGCACTACCCCAGGATGTTTCACGTGATGAAGTGTGTGCTGCGTCCACCATATTGGGCTGTTGGTGTCTTAGAATGCAGCTAGGTATGTGCGACCTTGGACAAGTCCTTGGCCTTTCTCCCTGTCGGTTTCTTTGCCTTTAAAATAGCGGAAATAACACCTCCTCTCACTGAGGCGGTGAGTAGCACAGTGCCTGGCACGGAATCTAGCACGCAGTGGGCCTGCACTTGGGATTTTCTCTTTTATGAAGTTATGCAGCCGCCCCCGGGCAGCAGGATGGTGGAGTATGGACCAGCCTGGGTCCGAATCCCAGTGCACCCACCTCCCAACCAGCTGTATGGTTTTGAACCAGTCACTTCATGTTTCTTTTGAAGCCTCCGTTTGTTTATATGTTAATGCAATCATGATAATAACTAGCTCCTGGACCTTAGTGGATTTAAAGAGGGAATATATATATAAAGCACCTACCACCATATACGACGTATAGCAGTTCCCTTATCCACAGTAACAGTTGTTCTCAGCTGAAATGGAGAGAAAAAAAAAAAAAAGCAGCCCATCCCTGCAGACTGTGCCTGTGTGTCTGCTGGCCTTGCCCGCCACGTGCCTCCTGAGGAAGCTGACTCCACGTGAACAGCGGCAGTGGGTAACTGGGCCATGGCCTCTGAGTGGGCCGGTCTGTCCTGAGGCACACACTACCAGGTGTGATTACCTCTCTTTCTGTTGAGGCTTCTGGTAAGATATGTCTATTCTAATATAATAGATCTCAAAGAGGCATTTGTACGATCCAAACGCATCATCTGTCTGAACACTCAGGCCTTCACTAATGGGGATCACATCTGGGAGGGGTGGGGTGGTGAGGATCTGTTCATACTCACTTGAGTTGATGCCATCTGAACTCCCAGCTCACTGTGTCTCCGCGACTTTCTCCTGGAGAAAAATAATGTGCGTGCAGACGTCTGGCTGTTGCTTGGGCCTCATGCATTCTTGACTGTGCGCTGTGTATAGTGTTGGTGCAGTAGCAGCCACATCGTGTCTGGATCAGTGAAATGCTCCTCCCACACCAAGCCTCTTCCCCCGGCTTCGGCCCATCTCCGCCCCGTGGCTCCAATGATACGGAAGAGAATGGGAGCTGTGCTCAGTGGGAGTTGATTCTGGAAAAGCGTGCTCACGGTGCGGCTGAGAGTGCACGCAAATGGGTGCACAGAGGAAGGGAGCTGTCAGCTGAGACTTTTCTGAACGGACAAGATCAACCCCAGAGCATCATGGTCTTCCTTTAACCTCCAGGTAATGCAGGTGGTGAAGGAGCAGGTGATGAGAGCTCTTACAACCAAGCCTAGCTCCCTGGACCAGTTCAAGAGCAAACTGCAGAACCTGAGCTACACTGAGATCCTGAAAATCCGCCAGTCCGAGAGGATGAACCAGGAGGACTTCCAGTCTCGCCCGATTTTGTAAGTGACCCACCACCTCCACCTCCCCCCACCCCTCCACCTCCTCCAGGGCTCTGACGGGCCACTTCTAGGGTGAAAGTCTCTCACAGCCCGGCTGTGCTGGGAGCTCTTTGTGGGAGGCCAACGAGAGATGTTCCGAAAGATCTCAGTTCAGCCGTGGAGTCGGAGCAGCCCCCTGGGCTGAGCGGGAGGTGGGCAGGTGCTGGTCGAAGGATCTAAAGCAGGAAGTGGCCCGGTGATGGGTGGGCCTCTGAGGATGTGTAGCTGAAACATTGGGGACCTTTCCTACCACTGGGAGCAAACTTGGTTGCCCATGAAGCTACGTTCTTTGGAGGTGCCTTTGAGGGGCAAGATGGCTGGCCCAGCCAGAGTGAGGCCGGGCTATTAAGGCAATGTCACTCCAGCAGCGCGGGTGGGAGGGACGGGAGCCCGAGCGGCGCGATGCACCTCCTCCCTGCCTATTGGCGCCCTCGGCATCACTTCACATTTCTCTTGTGACTGAGACAGAGAGGCCGGGCCCCCTTCACAGTTCTGGGCATCCAAGCCCACCAGCTGCAGTCGCTTCGTGTCAGGGGCCTCCGTCTGTAAGATGTGCTGAAGCTTGGATGCAAAGGCTGTCGGGTTCCCATTTTCCAGTGACAGAAACGAAAGCAAAGCATGGTTCCGAGTTTGCCCAGACTCGGTGTTTGCTGTGGAATAGTCATCAGGCCGTGGCCGGTGTCCCTGTTGGGTCAGATCACAAATGTCGTCCCTGAGACCGACTTGGGGCGAGGGGGGATGTGACCAGGGATTTCTATGCCCAGCAAAGCTGCGCGCTTTTTGCAGAAGTTTATGTGTGTCTGTAAAACAAGAGGAGAAATTTCTCGGGACCCTGTGGTCTGGAAACCATCGCTCAGGTGGCCAGTGCTTTGTGGATTCTGTAAATGCCAGAGGAGCCATAGTGTTACTGTAACAGATACACCTTCACAGATGAGTCTCCAAAGCCCAGCTTGGGGGGCATTGGGATGTTCATGAAAAGATGCTGCTGCATCCCTTCTCCCGCCTTCCTTACCCCCTCCTGCCCCCCCCCCGCCCACAGAGCCCTGCCCCCAGGCCCTGTGAAACGTGTGTGTTTTCACAGGGAGCTCAAGGAGAAGATCCAGCCAGAAATCTTGGAGCTGATCAAGCAGCAGCGCCTGAACCGCCTGGTGGAAGGGACCTGCTTCCGGAAACTCAACTCCAGGCGGAGGCAAGGTACGGTGCCTGGGGCTGCTCCGCCCGGGACCTGCCCAGGGAGGCCCAGGGCTTGGGCTGGTTTAGGGGAGGCCATGCAGCCCAGACCTCAGACAGGAATCACAGTCCCTGTGAGTTCTGATGCCCTGTGCACCCCAAGGAGAGCCGAAGTCCAGGATTCCAGAGGATCTGGGGAGCTGAAGAGCCTTCTGGGCCACGTAATGCCATGAGTTTGTTGTGGTTCATGTGTTGATTGAGACGTTACCATGTGCCGGCTGTGGTGTAACTTACATTCATGAGTTTCATCCTCACAGTGAGGAGGTGAAGGAGCTCCAGGTCCCCTGAGGACCTGAGCCAGCCCCAAACTCGTCTCAGCCTGGATGCTGAGGACAGACCATAAACGAGAGCCGCCTTTGGCCAAGTTCATTAACATTCAGTGACATGTACAGATTCTTTTTCTCCCCTTGGCGGAGCAGACACAGAGTATTCCCATCCTCGCGGAAGGTCTGTCTCACATGACTGCAGGAATTAGGATCCTGGTGGTGATTAGCTCCATAAGGAGCCACGTGACTCCGAGAGCAGCTTTAATCAGCCCCAGAGACCTGCTTCCCAGGCTTGTGTTTGAAACCAGCTTTTCCCTCTGATCCTCCAGAGAGATGGAGATGGAGATGGAGATGAGATAGGGATAGAGATAGAGATAGAGACAGGGATGAGGGGGAGAGAGGGAGAGGGAGAGGGAGAGGGAGAGGGAGAGGGAGAGGGAGAGGGAGAGGGAGAGAGAGAGAGAATTGTCTCCATGTTTTAGTGTTGGAGTCTGGGGAATGAAGAGGTGGCTATTAAGGTACTGAATTCCCAGGTGACTGGGAGGCCTCTAGTGACTCCTGTTGTCCCTGTAAATGCTAGTAAGAAACCTTTGGCAGAGTTCTCGCTGCTGCTTCTCGTTGCCTTCAGTGACACAGAGGGACTGAGGGACTGGTAACATCAGGCTGGGTTTTGAAAAGAACACACACATTTTTCTTACCATCAGAAGCTGCAGATCAAGTTGCCGCTGGCGGCTGCCGCTGACACTGTCCCCCACAAGTGGGCGCTGCGCAGGTCGGAGCTGGTGCCTCTGCCTTTCCTTAGAGCCGCCCTACCTTCCAGGCACCCCCCCACCCCGCCCCCCCCCGTGGTTTTCCAGGCCACAGTCTTCCAGAGCACAGGACCCAGCCGTTACCCTGCGGCAGACCCTGGTGGAGGACCAGCAAGTGATTCTCAGGAGTCAAAGCACCTCCAAGCCTTTCAGTCCCCTTGCCATCCATCCGTTCGACTTGCTCTCCGATGCGGGGCAGGCACCTCGCTAACAGCAGTGACGCACGGTGCTTTCTGCCCCCTGCCCCCCCCCCCCACACACACACACACACATCTTAGTGGTAGACAGAGAGGAGCTTACAGAGGCAAGAGAAGGGCTGGGCTGCGGGTTAGCAGTGAGCCTCCGGCCAGAGGAAATCCAGCAGCCGGACTGCAGCTATTGCTAAGGTCAAGCTCGACAGCTTCTGCATGTTCTTGGAACAAACATCGACGGCAGCTTTGCGAGGAAGGTGGTTGTCTTGCCTCCCAGAGCTGATAAACAGCGTCTTCTCTAGCGGTTTCTGAACGGAAGAAGCGTTGCCGCAGGGACCTGCTCTGTTCCTGCTTTTCCCTGCCGTGGCTCCCTGTCCTGCTTCTCAGCGGGGAACGGATGTTCCCACCGCCCTCCCACTCACCATCAGGAACTTAGGGTCCGTTCCTTCCTGAAGCATCCAGATCAGAGGACAGGAGTGTCCTCCAGGCGGTGATGTCGGGAGACGGGGTTTTGTCGGAGCTGCGGGGAACCCGGCCCCTTACCTGGGCCTCTTTGTGTCTCCTCCTCAGACAAGTTCTGGTATTGCCGGCTGTCCCCCAACCACAAGGTCCTGCACTACGGAGACCTGGAGGAGAGCCCCCAGGGGGAGGTGCCCCACGACTCCCTGCAGGACAAGCGTAAGTGCCCTCCAAGGGCGGCTGGGGCGGGTGCTTGCCTGTTTCCTGGTCACTAAACACCGTGCAGAAAAGCTGGCCGTCCACCCACATACCCACCGTGGAACCAGTCAGGTCTTCCATTACTGTCCAGTGCCACCGCCCTGCCTTGAGACCAAGGGGGATATTGCCTCCCGCCCCTGACGTTAATCAGTGCTGGACATTGAGGTACCGATGCAGCCCAGTGTCACAGAATCCTCTTCCTCCAGAGCATGGTGAGGATGGGGAGACTCCGTGGCTGTCTCCATCCCCAAAGGGTTAGGAAATCAGATACTTGTAACATGTTTGTTTTGTTCGACAGGCAATAGGGCCCTTAAAAACCCCTGTCTCCCTCCATCCCCTTGCCCCACATCCCGCACCAGGCTGACAGGCCTCATCACCCCACGAACACTAGGCTGCATTGCTGCTCAGCCCCCGGCCCTCCGTGCCTCCCTGTGAGGGAATCTAGGCCATCGCTCTGCACGCCCACATCAAAGAGGCCGGAGGAGGAGGCGCCCCACACGCACAAGGTGATGAAGCCGGTTACAGGAGACAGAGGAGCAGCTGAGACAGCAAAGCCAAGTGGCCGGGGGTCCATGATGCACGGTGAAAACTCCCGTCCCCGGTCTACAGACAGAATGAACTTTGATTATTGATCCTGAAAACAGCTCCAAATAACACTTCTTGGGGGCTTACTATTTGGCAGGCATGGTGCTGAGAACTTTACATAAATGGCCCTCCTGACAACCTGCGAGGGAGACCCCATTGCCTGTGTGTTACAGATAAGGAAACGGGGCACAGGAAAATTAGGGGGCCTGTTCAGGTCACACGGCTAATAAAAGGCAGACGAAGATCCGAGTGCCATCATCCAACACCCTGGCCCAGCCGATGCCCACCTTTCTGATGCCTGGATTACAAGCCTCGGTGACTGCGGCTCCAGCATCAGCCCAACCCCCTGAGATGGGTGATGGCATCGGTTCACATTCACATTGCCACGAGGATGCTTAGGCTCCCAGGCATCAGCCCAAAGTGGGAGCCATTGGGATGTCTAGATTTCACACCCAGGCTCTGCGAGTCCACAGGCATAGCCTTTCTACCACTCCATGCTGCCGCTTAGAGCTTAGAGACCAGGTCCTTTACCGGCTGCACTGGGCCCAGCCAGTCCGTCCTCCTCCGTGTCCACCGTAAGGCTGTGTCCACCAAGTGCTCAGCTCACCAGCTACTCCCTTGGTGGTTTCTGCCTCCACCGGCGCCCCGTGGGGAACACTAACACTGTTTTTAACTTGGTGGCCATATTTACTTGTGCAATGGTGCTTTTGTTTGAAGTCACCATTGAAGTTCCTCCTAACGGTGTTAGCACTCACAGCCTTTGCTGAACACATCTGAAGTGATGACCACATCAGGGCTGTTCTCGGTGTGAGGAGGTGCTGACACTTTCCAAACATGGGGAGAAGTCATGGCCCACCAAGGGAGCATGGAGGGGAAGCGAGGGGAATCATCCCAGCTCTGATTCCCACCGGCTATGTGACTTCACATCTTTATTTCTTTACCGAGTCTCCGTCTTCCCCTTTTTGCAATGTGGGTGTTGAATTAGATCATCTCAATCCAGCGCAAAGTGAAGAGAGCATAGAAGCCAATGCCCCAAGGATTTAGAGTTGAGGGTAGGGTGCCAGTAGTGACCATCCTGTCCTCATATCTCTTGGCCCCACTTCTCTTGGTAGCCCCCTCTTCCCCCCAAAAAAAGACCTCATAGAAACTCTTGCCTGGCTCTGACCTCATCCAGAGCCCTCTGCTGCCCTCTTAGAGTGCAGGTGCCCGAGCCGTGACTGGTTCTGCTCATGGCAATAGCGGGCCTAATTCTCCAGTGCCTCAGAGGCACCGAGGCAGAGAACAAGCTTTAAAAGCCACGTGTCTTTTTACAATTAGTGTTTTCCTCTCAGCCGTAATCCTGTCACAGGCAGCGTGTCTCCTTGACAGGGACAGTGCCTGTAGGAAACAGGAAGTCTGTCCTACCACGAGCAATGAGGGAGCGTGCCTTCCTCCCTGAGCCTTCTCCTGAGACCCTAAGGCTTCTCCCACTCAGCCTTCATGGGCATCCTGTCCCCATCCACATGGTGGGTTCTCAAAGCCACAGGCAGCTTACTATTTATAGATTGGAGACTCTCTAGCTCACTGGCCACGTTGCAGATTATGCAACAAGAGACTTTCCAGTCTGAGGTGCCCATGACTCATGTGCCATCGGACGCTCGAGAAGGTTTTCTGAATCGGTGTGTTCTTTGTGTCAAATCCACTTCAGTGGTGGCTTCTCCATTGAACAGTAAACCAAATGCCCTCCCCTGTGGGATCATGAATAGGATCCATGCAGGCCACCTAGAGGAACAGGGCTGATGGCCGGTTATGAAGGTGGATTTGAGGAGGGCTGAAGTTTGCGGTTGTAGTCAGCAGTGTGTCTGAAAATCACAGGGACCGACTACAGGAAAAGCTGATGCGAGGGAGAGAGGCAGAGGCAGGAGCAGGCTTCAGGGTGAAGGGTTATGCCATTCAGGATAGGCTGCACTGCTACGCTCTGCTGCAGCAACAAACAGCCCCAAATCTCAGTGGCTCAGGACAGTTAGCATCCGTGCCTCCCTTCCCACATTACGTAACTGACATGGGTCACTTACTCGAGGGGAATCATCCCAGCTCTGATCCCCACCGGCTATGTGACTTCACATCTTTATTTCTTTGCCATAAGTCTCCGTCTTCCCCTTGGCTGCTTGGCCACCCATAGCCGTGCCATCTGGATGGAACATCTGAGAGAGGCTGGTGGGCATGGACTTTTCCTTCCTCCTTCAGTGAAAGAGACTGGCCATTTCCTCTCACACTTCAATGGCCAGAACTAACCACATGGCCCCAAAGGTTGCTGGGAAGTGTAGTCCGCCATATGCCTGGAAAGAAAGGAAAGCCAGATATTAGTGAGTGCAAGTTGGGGTATAGAATCAGGACTGCACGATGAAGGAGCAGACATCGTGGGGCGATGGCTGGGGGGATGCAGAGGTTCCCCAGAGGATTCGTGGTGGCCCCAATCTTCTCTAGGGCTGGAGATAGCTCGTCAGCAGATTTGCACAAAGTTCTGAGCTGTTTCAGGGTACCTGGAAGATATTAGCTTCTAAGAGGTTTTCCTGTTGCATCATTTTGAAAGTCTATATATGTTGTAATTCTATCGTCTCTAAGTATGACCCTCACAACTCAATTCCCCAGTAAAAGCATGTGAACTTTAATTGTGAAATTTCTCATCATCTTCTCTATTAAGGGAATGATTACTAAGGAGATTACTGGTTGATTACTTAGGAATTCAGTACTCAAAGCGTCCTCAGATTCGAAGTAAGACATCTCTTATGGGACAAAAGATTAGCAATTGGAAAGGGACAAGTGACTTCGAATTTTTTTTAAGGTTCCAAACCTCTCTCCCCCCTCCGTTCCCCCTTCCTACTTCCTTCCTCCTTCCCCCCCTCTTTTAACAGAACAAACGTTTTAGAGGCAATCATCTCTCCATCTCTTTATCTCCTTCCGAGTCCTGAGTAAGACACGAGATAGCATCTTTTCATCTCGCTGCACGAGAAATGCCAGCTACCATTTCCCTATCAGAAAAGAACATCCCCTTCCTTGCAGTTGAGTGTCATTGTCTGGGAAACAGGGATAATGGACCCTGCCTTGAAGAACTGTTGTGGGAAGGATGAGCTGGGGACAGGGAGAATGACAGTGAGGGCCCAGGACTATTTAGTCAAATAAATGTTTTATGAGAGGGCTGCTTTTCCTCATACCCCAAACTCAGAGACTAAATAGAAGCAGATAGTTCAGCAAGAGACCCTGACATCCTCGAAGCACTTGGCCTTGCTTTTGACACAGTGTCTTCCACAATGCCAGTAGTAGCACCACTATTGCTGTTGGCACCACTGCTTCCTCTAATCCTGTCACTGTCACATGACTGCGGTGGGATTTTTTTTTTTTTAGGTATTTGTCTTGATGAACTAAATTCTGCTTATTTTTCTCCCCAGGATGCTTTTTGCCAGACTATAAGGACATATATCAGTTTCCAAGCCCTGGGCACTGCCTGACTTCTCTTCCTCTTTGTACCTCTTCTTCCTCCTTGCTGTGGTTTCTGGGCCGCTGGGCTGGCAGGCGCCGTGCTTAGTCCTGCTTCTCTGCTGGCACCTCTGCTTTTACACGGTGGCATCACTCTCATTTCTTTTATGAATTGCAGTGCCGGTGGCAGACATCAAAGCGGTGGTGACAGGGAAGGACTGCCCTCATATGAAAGAGAAAGGTGCCCTTAAACAAAACAAGGTATGGCTTCCACATTATTGCATGTAGTTCTATCTGAGCAATACACCAGCCATGGACCCAGCCTTTGTTCTTTGTCTGCAGTGCGCATGTGCCTGCATGCCTGCATGCGTCTGTGTGTGTGTGTGTCTCTGTGTGTGTGTCTGTGTGTGTGTGTGTGTGTGTGTGTGTGTGTGTGGTTGCGGTTGGGCACCTTCCTTCTTTCCTGATTTCTTTTACATATATAGCTTATTTCCCTTCCCACCAATCATGTTAAATCTGTTCTCTCCCTCCCTGTGTGTAGCCCTAGGACTTGTCCTCTCACTATTGTCCCTGGCTTCTGTCCTTGTCTGCTCACACACCCCACCCCCTCTTCCCTGGGCCTCTCCTAACCTCCCATTGATATTTATATTATCCCCTTACCCAAAGCCACTCCCCAATCTCTTCCATTTTCTCCTGTTGTTATCACCTTAGTAGCTGTGCTGGGGTCTCAGGGAAGCCTGGGGAAGACAGAAACCAAACGACTCAGAAAATTGTAGAAAATGTTTGAGGCCTGACCTCCTGCTGGATGGTGGAGTGCTGTGAAGTAGGCCAAACCCAGCTTCAAGCAGACACTTTTCCAGAGCTGGATGTCACTTCAGTCCCGTTCACATTACAACAGTTTCCACCCGCCCTCCGAGTTGACCAGCTGGCTGTTCCCCAGGACAGCTCACAGCCGTGCCAGAGTATGCCAGGGGCATTATCTGGAAAGATTCAAGATTTCCTTTGCCCCAGTTTGGAGATATTTGATCTTGGAGGGGCCACAAGGAAGGCCATTCTTTGTTTATACCTCTTGGCATCTTGTGAATGTATTGATAGTACCCCTCCATGAATGAAATCACCCAGATCTATCAGGGTGCTCCCGCCACCTTGGTACCAAAATTATCATATAGGTCAATATGTTGCTCTTCAACTGTTCACGTTTGGTATCTATGTGGACTATAAACATGATACGCATTTTACTTATCAGTCAGGATTGAAGTGAATAATCCCTGCTCTGTAATGTCTAACACGAAAAGACAATGGGGAATCCCAGTCTGCATTGGATGACACTATCTATGATTGAGGAAAAACAAAAGCACACACACACACACACACACACACACCCCAAGTTCACCAAGTTCTATCCTCAAGGTCATTGCTGGCCAAAGTGGCCAAAAAGGCGAGTCACACCCCCCCCCCCCCAAAAAAAAAAAAAATACACAGCCAACAATGTGTACTGAAAATACCTTGTGTACATCCCTGCTCTTGTGTCCATTCAGTCCTTTATTTGGCCCTGGAAGATGACAGCCCCAAAACCAAGGCGCCATCATGCCCAGAATTCCTCTGAGCATCCCCTGACCCAACGTGCCTCGTCCCTGGTTCCAGGGCCGGAGGGTAGAGCGCAAGGTCAGAGGCCCTGGGCAAGGGGGATCTTCAGGTCCCCAGAACCCATCCTCCTGGCCTCCCGCTGCACGGTGAGGGGCCTGGCGAACCAATGGGACAAAGGATGGCCACGAGCTGCTCCTGGACATCAGTTCTCACTGAGTTAAATTCACTGAATTAAATTCTCAGGTGGGAGCTCAGATGGCTGAGTGCCATGGGGTGTGACAAATAGGCCCTGAGGGGGACACTGCCCGGATCCATGACAGCGTACCCCACCTCCTGGCGCCTCTCTCCCTCCAGAAGGTCTGGACAGGTGGCAGCTCCTGGAGTGTTAGCCCGAGAGGTGTCATTGCTCCCTACCATGCAGCTGCCCTGCACCACGTGCGGAAGCGCTGACCTCCACTGACAGCTCAATGACAGCAAGCCAGAGCCATCAATAAAACTCATTATAAGTGATCGCAGCCTCTGAGACAGGCATGGGCTCCGAGAATTAATTCCTCCCCCGTCCTCCCTCCCAGGCAGCTTCGGAGAAATTAGAGCGGGGACTGGCATGCTCCCAGATTTCATGTTTCCTGATGTTTGTCAGGGATCTGGGTCATGGCAGCGCCCCTCATGCACATCCTCACGGGTGCATGCCTCGGGAGGGCCAAGATCCACATCTGCAGCCCCCCGCCAGTGACTGCTTCTCTTGTAAGGCTGCACCGTGCCGCTGAGCAGACCAGTAGGATGCTCACTGCCCTCAGTATCGTACAGGGCAGACAACGTGAGAAGTGCATGTTAACATCCACATCAGACAGGACATGGAGTGTCTCTCCCCAGCCCACTCGGCCACAGTGAAATGACCGTGTCCTTGGCCCTTTGTGTCTGGCTCCTCCTGTCTGCACTCAGTAGACACTCACCAATGAATGGACCCAGCTCTTCTGACACTGGGCCCAGGCTCCCGTTGGCTGCTACGGCATAAAGCTTAGGGTTGGGTAGCCTTTGCTCTGCAGTAGTGCAAAGATCAAGGGAAACATGGTCCCTAAAGATAACAGTTCACCCAAAGCGTCATTCCCTACCGTGTTTTAGGACGTAACACCCCTATGAGCACCTGTCCGATTGAGGTGCTCACAGGGAGAACGGCCCTTCGTGCTGCCAACGAGGAGGGGTTACAGGTTTGGGTTTACACCCGGGAAGAGCGATGCTGAAGAGAGAGCCACAGCTGTGGGTGCACGGCCCTGAGCACTCATCGGGCCGCCACTTCTCAGGACACACCGGGAGCCCTGCTCCGTGTCCCGTCTGCAAAGAGAACGTGCCTTCCCCTGAACGGTGTTTCTCCGTCTCTCGCAGGAGGTGCTTGAACTCGCTTTCTCCATCCTGTACGACTCCAACTGCCAACTGAACTTCATCGCTCCTGACAAGCATGAGGTGAGGATCCGGGCGGGGTGAGCTGATGACAAAATGCCATACTTTCTCCAGAAAAACAAGCAGGAGGGAAATAGGGGGAAGAAAGAAATTTCATAAAAAAAAAAAAAAAAAGCAGCACAATCATGAGCAAAGGAGCATCTTGTAGACTCTGGATAGAAGGGAAACCTCCGGAAAACCTGCCAGCTTCTCCCTAGCTTGGTTGGAGTCCATGGAAAGCAGAAGAGTCTGCAGATGCCTCAGGTTCTGCCAGGGCCTCGCTGCGACCCCAGGAGAGGGCCGCTGGGAGTTACATGGAATACTTCCTGTTTGTCAGGATTTTCCCAAGACAAACCTGTCTGTATTCCGTAAAATACTATATACACCCTGCCCGGCCAGCTTGGCTCAGTCCGTGACCTATGAACCAGGAGGTCACGGTTTGATTCCCGACCAGGGCACATGCCTGGGTTGTGGGCTTAGTCCCCAGTGTGGGGTGGGCAAGAGGCAGCCAATCAATGATTCTCTGTCATCATTGAGGTTTCTATTTCTCCCTCTCCCTTCCTCTCCGAAATTAACAGAAATATATATATATAAAATAAAATACTATATACACCCAAAACTAACATAAAATAATATTGAAAAATAAAATTTAGAAACACAGTTGATAAGGGAGGTTTTCTTTAAGTTCTTTGAGAGGTTTAGGGCTGTCTCCACTGCTGGGATGTATTTCTGAGATGCTTTTGTTCCTTTCTGACATCCTGGTACATGTGTGATTTGTTTCTCTTCTTGAGGCACGCTGTCAGCTATATTTGAAATATTTAGCATGAAGCTAGGAAGAGAAAGTACAGCGATGGTTGATTTAACTTCTTCTCTTGTAAGCTCGAACCAGCCTCATGCTGGAGACTTATTTTTAGAGGCACCATTCAGATTGGTTGGGCGTGGGGCCGCATAAGCAGCTCAGAAGGGAAGGACGCGTCCGTAAAAGCCCGCTGTGTCCCCGGGCCCTCCAGGAGCCCCGCTCCTTTGGAAGTTATTCAGAAGCTGCTTCCACTGTTTGAAGCTTTGGAATAAAAATGTACATCCCAGAGCGAGAGGAGAGATTAGATGCAAATCCCGCATTTAGAATGGTGCCTGCGTTTCATTCTGGGCTGCTTGACATTTCGTGTGCAGAAGGCTCTGGCTTTGTCCTCGTCATCCTGAAAATAGGCCTGCGTCCCACTGCTTCCCTCCTGAAGTGAAGCTGTGGTTGTGAGCGGGCCGCGGCATCCCCGCGGTAACCTGGAATAGGGGACCGGGGTGCCCTGTACGCAGGGGAGGCTTCCCCTGAGCCCTCGTGCCCACCGCTCAGGTTGGGCCACCGGGTCCGGTGTGTCTGCCCGGGCTGCCTGCTCCCTCGTTTGCGTGGCACCCTCACGCCGTAAGGTAGAAACGGTGGTCACGGTCACCGCACCCTCTTACCAGGGAGGAGAGCCTCTTCCCCAGGGAGCGCCTCGACAGCAGGAAAGACCTGGTCGTTGTAAATGCTCGTGCTTTCGCCTTCCTCTCACTTGACTCTCATCTAACATCCCAAAGCGCAAGCCACTAGTGTCCCCATTCGTGAAGGAGGGAAACGAGGCGCAGAGGTTAGGACACGTGTCCCTGGTCAAACAGGTCGGAAGCGATGAGCTGGTATTGGAGCCGGGGGGGGGGGGGGGGGGGGGCGCGGGAGAGGAGGGGGCCCTGTTTCCTCCGAAAACCCCTGCTCTGTGACTCCTGCTCTGGGTGGCTGGGCAGAGAGAAAGAAAGAGGGTGAGGGTCTATGCATTCGCTCCCAGAGCTTGTCACCGTGGTTGGCCATTCCCATTGCTTTCCGGAGGCCGCTGGGGGCTAGGTACCATCCACGAGACCTCCTCACAGGCTGGGCCACGAGGTGCAAGTGTGTGGCCTCCCGCAGTGGGCTATTGCTTCCTGGACTCCGCCCCGTCCCTTGGGAGCCACCCTGGCCCACTAGTCCTGTCCAGTTTGACGTGCTTCAGTACCTCTGTACGCAGTCAGAGGTGGGAGCGGAAGTGCCAGCTGTCTGCAGCTTTGTGTGTGTCTTAGAGCGCTGAGCACCGGGCCTGGCAGTGGAGTAGTTTGTGTTAGCTATTGCTGCTGCCCTCGGCATCTTCAGTGCTTGTCATTGTCCCCTCCTCTCCCGCCAGTACTGCATCTGGACGGACGGGCTGAACGCCCTGCTGGGGAAGGACATGCTGAGCGACCTGACGCGGAACGACCTGGACACGCTGCTCAGCATGGAGATCAAGCTCCGCCTGCTGGACCTGGAGAACATTCAGATCCCCGACGCGCCCCCGCCCATCCCCAAGGAGCCCAGCAACTATGACTTTGTCTACGACTGCAACTGAGGCGGCCGGCCCAGCCCCCGCCCCACAACGGGAAACGCGGCCAGCAGGAGAGAAGAGGGAGCTCGGGCCATGCCGTGGGATCCGTGTGGCAAAGGGAAGCGTGGCCCGCACTTCCTCCGGCCTCGCCTTCAGTCCCGCCGTCCTCCTGCCCCCACCTGGCATCTAGCTCAGCGCCCTGATTGTGTTTCTAGACGCCGTTGCTTTAGGTCACCTCCCGCTGCTGCAGCCTCTGGTGGGACCAGAGCAAGCCCGCCACCAGTAAGAGAGCCATAGGGCCCTCCATCCTCACCCCGGCAGGCATGCCCTCCCCTCCTGGCGTCTGAGGGCCAGCAGCTCCTGACTGCCCCCAGCCAGCCCGCCAGACCTAGCCGGGGGCCCATGCAAGGCTTGTGTCTTGAAGAAACAGTCCAACTACTTGAGAAGACCCAACACCGCCTCCTCATCCCCTTCTCCAGAGTGCGCTCACACCGCCCACGCTGTATGAACTGAGATCCGCTTTCACATCCGCTCCCTCCTCCGTCCAGGCCTTTGCCTTGTCCTGTTCCTCCAAGAGCAGCAGCCGCCGCCTCATCCTAGTTCCCACTGGCCTTGGGTCCCCAGATACAGTCCCCAGGTCCCAGGCCCACGCCACGTCTGCACTGTGACCTTGACCAGCCTCCTCTCCTCACCAGCTAGTCTTGGGTCTCCCCATGCCCCAGCCACACCTGCCTTCTCCGTGTCCACACGCCCTCCCGGCCCCTTAGCTGAAAGCACAAAAGGTGAAGTCAGTTGTCATGCTCCATCTCTAACAGCGACGCCCCACAGGCCTCTGCGACAGACGGCTCCTGCTTGCGTGTCTGGTGTCACCTTCTCCTGGGGGGGCGCGGTCGGGTCCTGCTGTCACAGGGGTTCCACGAGATGGTCGCGGTGTCGGACATCACGTTTACATCACTGTAGCTACTACAGGTGTTGACAGTTTGCAAAGGTTTGGGTCGGCTGGTTGTTACTTTTGTTTTGTTTTGCTTTGTTTTTGTACAAAAGAGTCTAACATTTTTTTGCCAAACAGATATATATTTAATGAAAAGAAGAGATACATAAATGTGTGTACTTTCCAGCCTTTTTAATTATTTTCATCCTGAACATCTTCCTGAGAATAACATTCCCTGAGACACGCTGTGGAATAAAATTAATGGTGATGAGTTGGAGAGCTGGCGTGTTGATGTGGTGACATGTGTTCTTGCTGTTCAGTTGTCAGGGTCGCCCGGGAGCCCGTCAGAAACGCAGCCCCTGCGGCCCCATCCCAGACCCCAGAATCGGGGGTTCGTGTGCATATTCACTCTGAGGGGCACTGGCTCAGGGGCCTTGGGAGCTTCGCTCCGTCACCGTAGGGCCTGAGCGTCAGTAAAGGGTATTCCTTCTACGAGGACCATCTCGGCTCAGGAGAACGGCAGGCCCACTGTGTGGATATGTGACTGTTCATTTGACCCTGTGGCCTCCTGCCCGTGGCACTCTCTTACCCCACCTTCCCCTGTGGTCGTGCTGGACATCGAACAACTGGGCCAGACCCTGGGTGTTACCGGGAAACCCAGGGTCAGGGGTCCAGCCTGCAGGAGAAGAGCTAAACATGGAAACTGAGTCAACTTGCAGGAGTTGGGCGCCACCCGCAGGCAAGCTGGAGCAAGGTGGGAGCTGAGGGGTACTCCCTGTAGCGCAGGGAATGGTGGGAAATCTCTGTAACTGGCTTGTATGGGGTCCCTGTGTGGTCCTGGCTGCCACTGCCTGACCACCTGGTGGCGGGCAGTGAGCTCAATGTCCCCGTTCATGACACCATTTCCCTCTCCAGGACGCTGCTCGTCTTACCCATTCCACAGGTGAGAAGTTAAAAGCTCAGCATTCAGGTGGCTCTCCAAGGTCACACCGTAAGGAAGGATGGGATCTGGGCCTGAGGAGACCTTTCTCTGACTCCCTGGCCAACACTGACCCAGAGGATCATCTCAATCCGGGGGAGCAGCCATCTCATGTTGCTAGTGGATTCCGTCATCTCCAAAAACATGCTTCTCCGTGAGCCCTGTGGCTGTGCCCCGTAGCCAGCCTTCTCCGGTCCTTAGTCCCTGCCGTGGCCCTGCCCATGTTCCCGTGCTGGGCCTCACACCTGAGCCAGTCCCCTCGGCTGGACCGTCTCAGTTCTAGCTTTTCCTCCCAGATCCTTAAGGCCTCCTCCTGGTCATCATGTCTAAGAGAACCCTGCCCTCAGAGTGCCCTGCAACCCTGGTCGATCTACCGGGAGTCGTCCAGCCTCTCGTGGTCTGTCTGGCCTGTATATTTGCTCTTCGTTAATGTCTGTGGCTACTCATTTGGGGGGTCATTGTGGTCTTCAAAAGCTGCCAGGATGGCCCCTAGAGAAGGTTAGACTCTGAAGCGCATGCCTAGAACTTGGGAGGTGATGCTCCAAGTGCAACTAAGAGCCACCTGCTCACCCCGTCAGTGGGTGCCATTGTCTCAGGAGCCCCCAGCACTTTCCCCATCAACAGCTTCCAGCACTTCCTTCACAGACTGGGGGCTCTCTGAGGAGTGAGGCCATTGCTTCTGGGACTGCATCTTGCATTTTTCTGCCCGCACTGAGAAAGGAGCCACGAGCTCTCCTGCAGAATGCAAAGCAGGGGAGTAGGAGGCGGGCCAGCCCTGCAGACCTGGCTGGGGGAGGGGGGTGGGGGGTGGTACTGCTGTGCACACCACTAGCCCGCTGCGCTGACTCCAAGAGCAGGTGCCCAAGGCAGACTGCCTCTGAGAGCAGGGCCCATCTGCCATTCCTTCTGCCCGATGCGGGCTATTTCCTGCACATCCTGGGAGTGGACAGAGGAGAAATAAACAGGCCTGCGTGCGATTGCATTGGGCTCAAGTCATTTCAAAAGCAGCCAAGGATTCCCCCAGCCCCAAATACAGTCATCACTGGAGCAGCTGTTCCCGGACCGTGCCTCCACTGGGGCCGCTGGGCGCATGGATCTGAGCGGCAGCTTGCCAACGTCTCACTTGCAGTGCCCGGAAGAGAAATCCTCAGGGTATGCAGTTCCGGCGGACGTGCCCAGATGGCTCTTTAAATTCTCCTTCAAACAATCGTATTGCTTTGTTTTTCAGTTTATAAAATGCGCATAGGAAATGCGGGAAATTCAGAGTATGTGCACAGGAAGAAAGTGTTTCCTAATTTAGATAACCATCATTCATATTTCCATGTCTTCTCCCTTTTCTCCACTTAACTGATGGATAAATAGATGGCTAGATATTAGGTAGATGTAGATGATAAGTAGCTGTAGGTGATAGATATGATGGGTGTGTAGATAGTTTGTAATTGAGAATATCCTGTATGCGGCACGTATTTGTATCACCAAATGGATGGAACCAGCCAGGGAGACAAGTGTTCCTACGACTCGCCCTCAGGTTGCGCGGTGTCTCTGGGGGTCTCAGCCAGTGGTTCTGCCTTGCTCCTCGTGTTTGGCATCTTATTTCACGAGGCCACTCTTGATGACTTGTGGAGAAGTCCTTGGCCGGTCACACAGCAGGGTACCGCTATGAGTACGTTTCTCTGTGTCCACGTGAGCCGATGAGAAAGCTAAAAAAAAACTTAAGCAAATCCCATCTATCCAATGGGGAAAGCCTGAAGGCAATACTTCCAGTGAGAGAAAAAGAAAAGGAGAGCTTGCAGGATGTCAGGGGAATGTTAGGAGCCCAACTTGGAGGCCTGAGAGCAAAGGAAGGTGGCCAGGCCAGGCTGAATGGAGACCTGGCTTCTCTCCTGCTGTGAGGAGAGTGCTCCCTCTGCATGTGCTCCCAACCCTCCTTCAACCCATCATGAGAAAGGAAGGTGCACAGGCACATTCCTCACCTTCCAATAGCCGCCTCTGGGGCTGGGGCTCTCGGCCTTGGACTACGGACTTGGGGCCAGTAAGTGGGGGTTCGTCCTGTGCTTTGTGACATGTTGAGCACAATCCCCGTAATCTGCCCATTAGAGCCCAGTAGTACCTGTCCCCTAGCCCAGCCCAGGCAAGTTGTGACAATCAGACACGTCTCCGATCCTCCCAGTTGAGAATCGCTGAACTGGAGATGTAGGGGTGGGGACAGAGGGATAGGAGTCTGCCTGCTGGCATCAATCACAATGGCCCTCTGGGCATAGCATCAAGCAATTTCAGCAGCAATGACCCCTGGGACATGGGGGCGGAGGCCACCCGTAGCCATTTGGGTTTGAGAAGAAGAAAGGAAATAAAACCGGATTTGCATATTTTATTTGCCTTAAACATCTCGATGGTCTTTCAAGGGGGGCTTTGCTTCCCTCCTGTTGCAAGGGAGGAAACTGAGGCTCAGAGAGGGAAACTTGCCCAGGACCACAGAGCAGCTGACAGAGGGCTTCCCACCCCCCCAAAGTGAGCGCCCCTGGCGTTTGGAGAAAGCGCATCTTCTGCACCCTACATGTGTACACGCTCACTCGGAAAGCTGGAGCAAAAGGAGGCGGGCCTGAGCGGAGACCCCCAAAACCGAGCAATTCAATGGGGAAGATTTTCACCCTTCTAATTACTTTGTCAGCAAAACTGTCGCTGGAGTGTTTTGTCTCCTGATTGGGCTCTGCAATTAAAGCCTCTTTGATGCCGGCACGTTCGGGCTAATTTTAAATCTGATTACTGTCAGCATTGCATCTGCTCAAAGCTGTTTTTCAAACCAGCAGCAGCGGTTTTCCTGGGGACGTGAGTTGTCAGAGTTTGTGGCCAGAATTCCCTGCAGCCACGTCTTCCTCTCCTTCCCCTGTGGGCACCTCCAGACGTGGTCAGATCCCAGCAGGTGCACCTCCAAGCGAACTTTGTGCCGGGAGCTGGCAGAGCCGCGCTGTCTGCATGCGGCCTGAATCAGATCTAAGAGAAAGTTGGGCCTCTGAGCAGACCAGCGAGAGAAAGGCTTTGGGCCACGTCCTGGGTCCCTCGACTTGAACCCTCTGTGGTAACAGCAGTAATACCTGCCTTGAATCTGCCTGGAGGGACCAAGGCCGAGAGGGTTTGATGCGAATTATTAAAAGGCCTGTTGGCCCAAAGCCTTCCCCGTCTCTCAGACCTTCCTGTCTTCCTGTGAGTAAAGCACACATTAAGCAATACAGGAGCTCTGAAGACCATCTCTCCAGACCTGTTCAGCCAGGGCAGACGCAGACAGAAGGTGGCACTTCGCCAAGAAAAGTGGCCACAGGGGCCACGTTGGACAGGCCCAGCGCCCCGGTGCTCATGCTGGGGTGTGCACCTGCAGGGAAGGGTCCAGCGCTAGCCATCCTTTCTCTGACTCAATTTTCCCAGATCTGCTTCATCCTCCACCTTTGAGGTAGTAAACATGTCTGTATCACATGTGTCAAATACAAGGCCCGCGGGCCAAATCCATCCCGCCAGGCCTTGCAATGTGGCCCGCACCGCGCTGTCATCACTGCACTCCGCTGCGTTTCCATCACAATGACAGTTTATGACTGTTCAGTAAACCATTCGGCCCACGATTTAGGCTGGATTTTAGATTTTGGCCCCTTCTCTGATTGAGTTCGACACCCCTAAATGAACTCCCAGCACCAAGACAACAGAAAGCCCTCGTGTCCGGGCCCTGGCTGTTCTCCTGTTCTCCCTCCCACTCAGAGAGAGGGCTGGGAAATGCAGGGAGAAGAAATGGGAGAGAGGATTGGGAGGTAGGACAGACAGCACCCGGTCGTTTCTAAAAGCTTCTTTGTTGGTCAAACATGAGCCCGGATTGAGAACCGCTAAGTGGAGGCAGTTGGAAAGAAGTCAATCTCCAGTGTCATCAGGAGATAAATAATGGAGGTGGCTTTACGTCCTAATTAACCCCTCAGCTTTTGAAAGCTTTGGTCTCAGTGGGAGAACCTCTGGACCCAGTCTCACAAACAGGTCTTAGATTCAACTTCCTTCTCACTAGTCATTTGTCCTCTCTGAACCTCAGTGCTCTCATCTATAAAATGGGGGTAATACTACTTCCCTAGGGAGCAAACAATGTGAATAGGTAATATAAGTAAATTTCATAGCATGGTGGTTGGCAGTAGGTAGCAAATTGTTTACGTAGATATACTTACATGGCCTTATCACTGAAAATAAAAACAACAAACTCTTGGTGGCCACGAGAGGATCTATGCCTACCTTTGCCAGAGAATTATGGTATTGTTAACTAAAGGGAGGAAAG